CTCGCGCGCAGGCAGCGTGGCCCTGGCGCGCCCGCCCCTGCTCTAGCGAGGGAGGCCTGTGACAGGAGGGGGAGTTCTGCTTGTTTCCCACCACAGGGCAGCTGTGCAGGCGCCTTCCTCCTGCCGGTCATGTCGTGACAAGCCGGGTTTCAGAGCCCTCCGCTGTGTCTAGACTGGCCAGTTTTTCTGGAAAATCAGCCGCTTTTCTGGAAAAACTTGCCAGCTGTCTACACTTGCCGCTTGAATTTCCACAAAAGCACTGACTTCCTCCTGTATGAAATCAGTGTTTCTTGCGGAAATACTATTCTGCTCCCGTTCAGGCAAAAGTCCCTTTTGCGCAAAGGGGCCAGTGTAGACAGCTCAGATTTGTTTTCTGCAAAAAAGCCCCGATTGCCAAAATGGCGATCAGGGCTTTTTTTGCGGAAAAGCACGTCTAGATTGGCACGGATGCTTTTCCGCAAAAAGTGCTTTTGCGGAAAAGCGTCTGTGCCAATCTAGACACACTGTTCCGAAAATGCTTTTAACGGAAAACCTTTCTGTTAAAAGCATTTCCGGAAAATCATGCCCATCTAGACGCAGCCCTGGTCTGTAGGGTTTCGGATGTTGCACCCTCTTGCGGGAAATGTGCTTTTCTACTAGTTGAAGAAATAAGGGTTGTTTGTGGGCTTTTTTCTTCAATTCTCTTTAATTCAGCTAATTAACACTATTAAACTTCTAAGGGAGATTCACATGGAACATAACTAATCTTCTCTGGCTTTGGTGGGAGTTGTTGCATATAATAAAATTGGTGTGGGCTTTGTCATAAGTCAACATCATAACTCTTAGGTTAGTGCTGTGGCTGCCTTATCTCCCCTTCCTTCCACCCACCAACCTAGGGGATGGTCTTAATAAATGCTGACCTGGTGGTTGCTGTAATGCCTGATCTTGGAGGGACAAGGTTATAAAAATAATCCCAGAACAATCCCGTCTCCTCACGCTCCCTTCAGAAAAAGCAAATCACAATAATACCTGCTAGGAGGAGGATGAACACTACCATCATATCTCTCACATCTTGTCTACATTTACCAGGGGATCTGCACTATAGGGATTGATATCTTGGGGGTTCGATTTAGCAGCTGTTGTAAAGACCCACTGATCACACTCCCTTTGGTACTCAGCCAGAGAAGAGTAAGGGGCGTAAACAGGAGAGTTTCTCCCATTAACCTCCCCGCAGTGGAGATGCCTTAATACTGTAGTTTGAATTATGTTGACTCCAAATATACTAATCATGTAGCTGGAGTTGCAGACCTTAGTTTGACATTGCCCCCTAATATAGACCTGGTCTCAGAGGGATAGTTGGGTGAGGCCATGTCTTCATTCCTGGGAAGATTAACACTGCCATGATCGGTCTCCCAGAGTTCAATTTAGAGGGTCTAGTAAAGACCTGCTAAATAGAACTCGAGGGTGCCCCTGTTGGCAGCTGGTACTCCTGCTTCTGTGAGGAGTAAGGGAAGCTGTTGCTCCTGTTGGCCTTCCACTGTGGTGACATAGAGGGAACTCAAATTAAGGTATGTCACCTCCAGCTATGTAATTAACATAGCTGGAGTTGCATCTCTTAATTTGACCTTCCCCTTTGGTGTAGACCTAAGCTTTGGCTGTTCATGCAAAACCAACCATGAGTCCTGTTAGCCTTTAAGGACTTATTGTCATCTCGTTTGTTTGTGTGTGTGTGTGTGTGTGTGTGTGTGTGTGTGTGTGTGTGTGTGTTTAAATGTTTTCTTTACAATTGTAAATATATTGTGAATAAGTATTTTCTGTTTAAAGGGGATCAGTAAGTACAGTTGAACTTCAGAGTTATGATCATCTCAGGAATGAAGCTTCAGAGGGGTAGCCTAGTTAGTTAGGTATGACGGTTGTTCATAACTCTGAAGTGTTTGTAATTCTGAGGAAAATATGGTTCATTCAAAAGTCTACAACTGAATATTAAATTAATTCATCTTTACCATTCATGATACAGATGCAAAATGTTTCTTTTGACCATATTTATTTAAATGAAACAAGTGCACAAGCACAGTTCTTAAACTCTCTCTTTGTTAGTAGTTTGTTTAACACAGTACTGTATGGTATTTGCTTCCCCCTTCCTCTCCCCCTCCTTCCTCCAGCTGCTGTCAGCTTGCATACTTACAGTTTCAAATGAGATGTATGGTTTACAGGTCAGTTTGTAATTCGGGTTCTACAATAATTCATCAAATATTAGAAAGTAACTGCTAATGGAGTATGGGCAGATCCATGCTTAAAACGCTGCAGTGATGTAACTACCAGTGCAATGGTGCCATTCTAGAGCCTCAGTGAAGATGCTGCTACTCTGATAGAAGAATGTCTGTCATCAGCATAATCACCTCTGTAAGACGTGGTTCCTATGTTGACTGGAGAAGTGCTCTCATTAGCATAGCGCTGGCCTACATATGGGTTTGGTGGGTATAATTATGTCGCTCAAGGATGTGGATTTTTTTATACCCTCTAGTGACATAGCTATACCAGGCAAAACTTTAAAAACAACAAATAGTCTTTAAGGTGATACTAGTTTAACAAAACATGTAGATGGTGGTATGAGCTTTCATGGGCACAACCCACTTCTTCAAATGACAGGTACCAATGCAAGTTTAAAGTTCAGATTTGGCTTAAGATTGTGGACCTAGCCCTCAAATACTGAGTGCCTTCACCTCCCACTGACTTGAGTAAGTGCCGAGATCACTATTTAAACCCTAATCCAGCAAACATCTGTATGTATGAGTCCTCTACTGCACCTAAAATTTAGATTGACTTAACTTTGTCGCTTAAGAGTGTGAAAAAATCACACTCCGTGAGAGATGTAATTAAGCTAGTGATGGGCAACCTAGGCTAGTGAATGGACTGCATGAGTAGCCCTCCTTCATCTCTGTGGACCACAAAACTGTTGTAACCAAGACTGTCTCCCAGGATAGGGTAGTTTTGCTAACTGTGCTGGTGAATTTATATTTTACAGGGTGTGCCAATTGAACCATAGCAGCACTTTGATTGGATTCAGAGGGAATGCCCAGCTTTCACAGACGTTGTGTGCAATATATCCTACTTCACGTACCCTTGCTTTACACGTGTGTCACTTTAGTAACGCTCTTAGGAAAAGCCTAAACAGATTAAAAACTAGTGGAATCTGGTAGCCCTGAGCATGGACAATGGTAAACAACATTTCTCTCAAGGCACACATAGTACCCTAATGGGCCTCATGTAGTCCATGAGCCGCAGATTGCGCACCACTGTGTTAAGCTGACCTAAGCCCCACTGTACACACAGTTAGGTCCATGGAAGAATTCTTCCATTAGCTCCTGCATCTTGAGGGGGTGTGTTCTCTATTGTAGTAAATGTCTACACTACACTTGTAGTGTAGCTTTATGCATGAGTAGTTCCACTGATTCAGTGAGATTACTCTTTCTCTAAGGTAATATACTACTAAAAAGTATTCAGATACTATGTGGTGGTTCCTCTGTAACAATGATTCCCAACCTGTAGTCCTCAGACTCCTGGTTGTCCGTGACAATATGGAAAGTTTCAATCCTTTCTTTTTTTTTCTTTTTTTTTCTCCCCTCGGAAGGCGGGAGTGGGTGACATTTTAATAGATTGAAAACGGGTCTGAATGCTTGAAAAGGTTGGGAACCACTGCTCTGTAAAAAGCTCAACTGAAGGGAGCGCAAAGCACCTACTTTGCAACCAGTTAACTCGAGAATCCTGAGCATGTTGCAATAATGTATGTTGGGGACAATTACTGAATATTATAGTACATTAATGCCAATTCTTGATTATTAGAAACATGTAGCGAACTTCTTACAGGAATAAAAATGTCTTTGAGAATATACTTTAGTTTCATATTGACACAATTCCTTGTATGTATTTTTTGTAGAGTTAAGCATTTCTGCATCATCTTTACAAACTCATAGTGTCAAGGGGAAGTTTTCCTTATCAGGGAGTAGAAAGCTATTCTTTGACACCCATGCTCTAGTGTGCCTGTTGGAAGAAAATGGTAAGTTTTGTATTACAACTTATTCAAATGTGTAGAATGATGTAGAACTTACTTCTGCTGTATGATTTCATTATTTCAGAATACTAAACTTGTTCAGTTGTTTCTCCGTGACACTTAATTTTAGAATAAAGGTGTTATTCTTAGTGAGGAATCTTTTATAAAGGGTCCTTAAAAATCTGCTGAGACTTCTTTTACTTTAAAAGGATATTAAGATCAAAATTTGGTCTATATTATTTTGGATTTACATTGGTGAAACTGAGGCCAGAAACCGGCTAGGCCTGCTATTAGGGATGTCAGTGTGTGGTTGTTTACAAGTAACCCGTTAAGTGTGGGCTTAACGACTGCATTCTCCTTCCCCCTTGCTGCTGCTGTATCAGAGAGGGGAGATAAGAGTTTGGGCTCCCCACGAGCACTGGCTCCCATGGAGCTGCCTGCTCCCTGCGCTGCTGCCTCCCACAGAGGCAGCAGTGTAGGGGAGGGCAGATGGGAGGCAGTACGCAAAGGAAGCCAGCTTTTAAGCCTGTTCCCCTTCCCCCCCCCATACACATGAGAGCCCGGGGACGGGGGACGGGCAGGAGGGAGCCAGCGTTTTGGGGGGAGCCAGTACACATGTGAAGCGGCTTTCAAGCCAGCTTCCCATGCATATTGGCTCCCAGGGAGCCACCTGCCCAATCTGCTGTTGCCTCTTTATCAGAGGCATGTGGGAGCTTTTAAGCCAGCCCCCCACAAGCATCAACTTTGCTGCCTGCCTCCCCTGCATTTAAATATGTAACTGCTAAAATGTTCAGTGGTTACACGTTTGCACAATTACATGCTAGTTAACATCTCTACCTGCTGTATAACACTGAATTAACTTTTGAATACCTTGTATTTCCTTTACTTTTGTATTTTTAATTCTCTTTCATAATATGGTATCACTCTCTTTCTTATGAACCTGCAGAAGTTGGAAGTATTTGTATTGGGGTATTGTTTTGCAAAGTATCTTTGTAGAATGTTGCAACTGTTACAGGAATCAGCAATAATGACTTAAATCTAATACACTTAATTTTACATAGTTATATTTTACAGAATTTCAAAGGCTGGTAGATCTAAAACAGGCCAACTAGATTTGTTCTTATTTATTGACTTGTTCATATCTTTTACATTTTTCTGAACAAGCAAAATACTAAAATTGTGTTCCTGCTCTTGTAGTTCAGGGTTATAACTTTCAGTAGCCTGCTTGTTCACAAAGAACTAAACAGACATGAGAGAGAGAATATAACATTCCCATGTGTACCCATATCTGATTTAATAAATAAATTAAATCCCAGCATCCTATATTGAGGGATAGTTCTGAACAGTAGAAGTTGCCATTAGCCAGACTGCAGTTGAATCTGGAATGTTCATGGTTTTTTTAATTCTTTGACAATAACATTGTGTTTTATTATTAGTTCTGAATATGGGGAGGAATAAGTATGTAGCCTATGCCATGACCTGAATTTATTAATAATCTTTGTGAATAGTATTTGAAAGAGACATTGTTCAGGTATAATTTTGTTGTTTTGCTATATTTTGTTTTGCTCAGGGTTCACAACTCAGCAGTCAGAGATCATTGTATCTGTGTTAGTGAAAATTCTGAACACCAACATGGATGTGATTTACAAGGACATGGTCACCAAAGTGCAGCAGGTTAGATACAAGAAGGTGTTGGATTTTTAAAAAAGAATGTTTCTACTAGTAAAACATACAACGTGTTGCTTAAGGAATGAAGTAAGGGATAGATATACCTTAAATTTTCAAAAGCAAAGACATTCTGATTTAAAAAATACGATCAAGCATCTCTATATATCTTCTGCATGTTTTCAAATTGGATACTTGCATTATATTTAGTTTTGAGGCCTGATTTTTTCCCCTTATACTCAAATGCACAAACAAGTGTTGCTATGGATCTTGAATTTCAACTGTTGTGATTCAGTGCACAGCCCAGATCCTGGTGTTCCAAGCTCTAGTGTAATTTCAAACCAAAAATGAGGGTAATCGACTAGAGAATTTTTAGGTAAGAGACTGAAATAAATCACGTATATGACACACGCAAATTGACTGTCACATGAGATATAGTGAATAGTGCAAGTCTTTCCAAAAGGATCAAACCTGTTTTCTGTCACAGGAGAGGAAAAGTTTCCTCAGTTCTTTGAGTGATTGTACTTGTCCACTGTAGGTATTCGTGCACTTAAGTGCACTGATGTCAGAGATTTTTCCCTTAGTGGTATCCATTGCAGTATCACAAGTCCGGTCTGCTGCTTCACAGGCAAAAAAGGTCAAGTTTCCACTGACCTCCTGCTCAGTAGCTTCCTTAGTCCATAATGGTTATTAGAACTACCTGTCCTTGCTTCTTCAAGTTTTAGTCAAATCCTAAATACAGTATCCCCTCTATAACAGACCCGTCAGGATTCAAGCCATTATTATAGCCAGAGGTTCATTAAAACAAAGAGCACCAATGAGAGTGGGGCACCTGATAGTTCCTCCAACCCTGCAGCTGGGATGGAGGTGGGATTCAGGGAGCAGATAGGTTATTATAAAGAGCATTACAGTGAAGATGTCCTGTAAAACCCATTGTGAAGTTAGTATAGTTTAATAGGTAGTCATCAGTTTAAAAATAAATTGTTTTTGCAGTTCTGATACCCAGTTTTGCTACCTGCCTTGGTACCAGAGATATATCATGTTCTCTGGGTTTCAAGCCCTGCCACTCTTATTATGAGGCAATGCCTAATGTGAGACTTATCCCAACCTCCCTACGTACTTGGGAGAAACATGCATGAGTGACAAGTGAGCCATTTGTCCTTACACACAAATTGACTGTCACATGAGGTATAGTGAATAGTGCAAGTCTTTAAGCTCCGTTCTAAAAAAGGCAGGGCATCCAGACTAAAATATTTGCTGTTTGAATTTGCCTGTATCCTACATCTGAGCTGTCTAATTCAGTGCAAGTATTAAGCGCCTTGTTGTTGGTCAGTAGCACACCTCTGGCACACCAGTGCTAAGTACTGAGGAAGAGGCATTCAAAAATCAGATGCTATGCCAGAATCCTTGAAAGATGTGAGGAGGTCAAGCTCTTCTAAAGACAGGGCTGTGTTAGAGATGTGAAGGACCACCCTATCAACCTCAGCCTGACCAGTCCACAAGGGAAATCCATTTCCTGGACACTACAGTATACTTAAATAATGGACAAATTTCCACCACCCTATATCGGAAACCTACTGACGGCTACCCTTACCTTTATGCTTCCAGCTTCCATCCCAGACATATTTTTCAGTCGATTGTATACAGCCAAGCCCTACAATACAACCGGATTTGCTCCAACCTCACAGACAGAGACAGTCACCTACAGGATATTTACAGAGCATTCCTAAAACTGATATACCCACCTGGGGAAGTGAAAAAACAAATTGACAGAGCCAAAAAAATACCTAGACATGAACTACTTCAAGACAGACCCAAAAGAGAAAATAACAGAACTCCTCTTGTTGTTACTTACAGTCCACAACTCAGACCCTTCCAACTCATTATACACAATCTACAAACCATCTTGGAAAATGATCCCTCACTCTGAGTCCTTAGGACAGGGGTCTCCAAACTTTTCTGCCCGAGGGCCGCATTAACTATCAAACAGCAGTTCGGGGGCCGACTACACACTTGAGGTCCAAATAAAAAACAATCAAAACATGGATGTTGTTTTTAATTATTTATTTAATATTATTTTATTCAGTTATTATTTAATAACACATTGATACACTACACATGAACACCTGTATTAGTGTGAATGGTGAAATTGTTTCCTGGATGCCAAAATAGCAGACATTTCTGGCTTTAGAAATCACTGTTTGAAATTGGGGGTGGTGCTTGTCCTAGTCCTGCAGGAGGGGCTCCAGAACGGGGAAACTGCTGAGAACTCATTTCCACCTGCGCAATGTGATGAAAATTGTAAGCAACATAATCCTGGCAATATGTTCAGCCTAAGACACTCACACTTGAAGAGATGTGATCGCTCTCCTATCATGCAGGGAATGAGGTGACAATTTGTAACATAGCCCCATGGAACAAGGGGCATGCATTTTAATGGGAAAAGCTGGTTTGAAAGCAGACACGTTATCACTTGGTAAAGGAAGTTGGAAAGCAGTGCCCAACGCTCCCACAGACTGATACCCGGCAGGGCGGTGCTGCTCTGGGTTGTGGATGAGAGAGACCAGACGTGGAAGGGAGAGGGATGTTTCTTCAGGGCGCACTGCAGGGACCAGGGCAGCGCGCTAGGCACGGCACAGCGTCACCCAGAGGCTGTGCCACAGCAACCAGACCGCCTCCTGCAATGGGCACCAGCTCCTCAGCCCCGCCCCCGGAGAAGTAGCCCCTCGCTCCTAGCCCCTGAGAAACCACCGTCGGGTTTCCTCCCCTCCGTCCAGCCTCCCGCGATCCTCTGCCGCCGGGTCTGATCCGGAGCCCGCCTTCGAGACCCCCCTTTTTCGCCCGCCCGGCCAAGCGGCACGCGGAGCCGTCCCTGACCTGGGCTACCTGCTGTCCCGTGCGCGCGCTGGGGCCTCGCCTGATTGGCTCCGGTTGGTGCACGCGGAAGAAGGCGGGGCCAGACAAAAAGGTCTCCACGGGCCGGATGAGAGGGCCTCGCGGGCCGCAGTTTGGAGACCCCTGCCTTAGGAGAAAAACCTATTCTTGCTTACAGACAACCCCCTAACCTGAAACGTATTCTTTCTGATATCCATGCTGCACAACCACATCATAAACCTCCAGGAACCAAGCCCTGCAACCAAAAAAAATGCCAACTCTGCCCACATATCTACACTGGTGAATTCATCACTGGAGCTAACAACATAAGCCACAAAATCAAAGGGTTGTTTGACTGTACATCCAGTAATTTGATCTATGCCATCAAATGCCAGCAGTGCCCCACTGCTATGTATATTTGACAAACTGGACGGTCTCAGCGGGAAAGAATCAATGGATATATTTGCCTTACATATGCTCTCAGGTATACTGAGTGTAATGAGTTGTTCTGAATTAAATCTGGAGTAAATGTGATCAGAGCTTGATTGAAGATCTCCAGCAGTGGAACTACATTCTAAAGAAGTCTCAGAAATCAAATCCTGAGGTTACCACCACCAGTAGTGTCTCTAATATATAATTTACCAAGAATTTTAAACATGTGGACAATAGTCAGAGAGATAATTTGAGTGCTGACCATTAGGCATGTTCATGTTAAATTTGGGTTCTACTCTTATCGACGGTCGACAGGCTAGTGGACTAGTCATTCCCCCTCCCCCCCTTGCTTTACTTCCAAGTGGCAGTGCTGCATGGAGCACCTCTTCCCCTCTCCTGTTTATTTTGAGTTTTCATATTCCCAACTCATAACTCGGTCATCTGAAGAAGTGGGCTGTGCCCATGAAAGCTCACGATACCATCTACATGTTTCATTAGTCTATAAAGTGCTACCAGGCCATTTGTTGTTTTTTTCTGTAACAGACTAACTCGGCTACCCCCTGAAGCTCCAAATGCTTATCGACGGTCGACAGGCTAGTGGACTAGTCATTCCCCCTCCCCCCCTTGCTTTACTTCCAAGTGGCAGTGCTGCATGGAGCCTGCCAGACCCTGCGCTCCACATGGCGCTGCCGCTTGGAAACGCTGTGTGCAGCCTGGAACCAGCTGGGGTGTTCCCAGACTGCACATGATGTTTCAAAGTGGTAGTGCCGCATGGAGCCTGGGATCAGCTGAGGACTCCCCCACTGACCCCAGGCTCCATGCAGCACTGCCGCTTTGAAACGCTGCGGGGAGCCCAAGATCAGTTGAGGACTCCCCGCTGACTCTGGGCTCCGTGTGGCGCTGTTGCTTTGAAACACCGCGGGGAGCCCGGTGTCAGGCTGAACACAGCGATTCAAAGCAGCAGCGCCGCATGGAGTCCGGGGTTAGTTAGCTGATCTCCAGGCTCCACGTGGCACTGCCACTTTGAAATGCTGTGAGGAGCCCAACGCTCGTGAGGAACCCCCCGCAGTGTTTCAAAATGGCAGCACTGCACAAAGCCTGGGGTCAGCGGGGGAGTTCCCCCACTGACCACAGACTCCACACGATGCTTTCACCTTTGAAGTGTAGCAACGGTCCACTTCAAAGGCAGAGGCGCCCTATTGACTAATCGAATAGTTGATGCAAAATGCATTGGCTATTCGATTACTCAATTAGTCGATATTTAGTATCCTTAGATATCTCCTTAGAGCATTCCTTTAAAACAGAGGAGTTTATTGACTCCAAAGCCCAGTATGAGTCTGCAGATATCAGTTCCCAAAGCATCTTCATTGGCATCTCATTGCACCACGGTACTGTAGAATGTCTTCCTGGTGCCATCTTGAGGCATTTGAGGTTGCAAGAGAATTGCTAATTCTTTCAGTGCAGTCGTTTGCACAGTTCAAGAGGCTTGCCTGGCACTGGGTGCCCACTCTGTCATATCTTCTGCACTAGACATTTCCATTGGGTTCAGCCATCAGAGTATCAATGGAAAGGGGTACTGTCTAGGGCAGGGGTTCTCAAACTTTGTGATACTGCGACCCCCCCCCCTCTAAGTTGCTCATGACCCCCAGGGGGTCAGAACCCACAGTTTGAGAAACACGGATCTAGGGGAAAGCCACAGATGAGATCTGGAGAGGACAAAAGATAGAGTAAAACAGGTGGGGGCAAGACATTTTTCTCCACTTTGTGTTCTCTGCCCTCTTTGCTGTCCTCCATGAAATTGAAAATATAATGGAGGTTGAACTCTCTAGACTGCCACATTTTGATCTGGCAGCATCCATGGTCTGGCATGATTTAGGTAGCTGGATGTGCACTTACCACGGGTGTGGCTAAGTTTCACATGGTGCCATAAAGTTTGTTTACAGCTACCAGTTGTGGCTCTGTGTTTTGTGCTGTTGTTTAGCTCTAATTTACCCCAAATGTCTTCTAAGAGCCCAGTAAGCAGTGGAATTGTTGGTAGTGCTGCTAGACTGTATTGACCTCTTGTGATCTGGTAAATTCTCTGGTGTAGCACCAGTCAGGTCCCAAGGGTGCCAGACTAGAGGAGTTCAACATGTATAAGCTAATACTGCTTATTTAAAAATAACACAGGGAAGACACCAGAATTTAAGCATTGTTCAATATTTCATTTAGATTAAACTTTGAAGTAATACTGCTATTGGCATGTCTTCATAACCAAATAGTGATAGAAATGTAGCCGTGTTAGTCTGGGGTAGTTGAAGCAAAATGCAGGACAATGTAACTATCTCACCCATTACCAAGACAGTTTCCCCAATTATCACCTGTAATACCATTAACTCACAAACATCCCACTCTCCCTACCTTTAATATCAGCAATTCACAGACACTTACCTTCCTTCCTCCCCCTTCCCACCCCCCCGCATCCCCCTTCTGTTCTGCAATGTGATTTGTCCTTTTCATATTTGTTCTTTTTTTTAATTGTATCCTTTGGTATATATGGTTGTGACTATTTTCTTCCACTATTTGATCTGAGGAAGTGGGTCTGGCCCACGAAAGCTCATCATCTAATAAACCATCTTGTTAGTCTTTAAAGTGCTACATTGTCCTGCATTTTGCTTCATAACCAAAGACAGTTGACAGTCATTATTGGCTGTAATAATAAAAAAATAAAAACACAAGTTAGCATTGCTTTGTATTGGTGTGTCTAATGGACCTGTTGAGTTCTTCTGAATAGTTACAACTCTCAAATTAAAATTTTGCGTATTTAAGTAAGCATTCCTGTAGCTGGTATCTTCATCTTTCCTAGTTCAGGCAAGAACATTTTACTGAAGTGCTGTCTTTATATGCTGTTCTGTGCAACATCTTTTTTTGACCTACTTTGTGTTGTCAGAGGAAAACTACAGTTGCATGTTCTTGTTTGTATTCTAATTTAGGTAGCTTTTCAGCTTCAGTTAGTCAATTGTTACATTCATTTCAAAATGCATGTTCCATATCTAGGATGAAAATTGATCAGTCTAAGATGGTTGGATTCCAAGTCTCTTAGTGACACATACTCAAATAATAGTGTTTCAAATACTGTATTTGTACACGTGAGAAATTTTTAGGATGTTGCAATTGTTATTGTATGAGCTGAGTCTTTCTTTCTTCTTTCAAAGGAAATCACTCTTCAGCAAATAATGTCTCTCATTGGTGGTGTGAAAAAGGATATGATTATTTTAGAAAAGAGTGAATTTTCAGCACTCCGAGCTGAAAATGAGGTAAAAAATCCACATGCAAACTACTGCATCACTGGAGATTTTTTGTATACAGTATAGAGAAATGGTTTGCAACTTTTTGCATACCATGGCTTCATGACGCAACAAAAAAATACTTTATGGCTAGCTGGGAGGAAAATCTGAAAGCAAGGGACAGTGATCATGAGCCCCAGTTTGAGAACACACAGAAGAGAGGAAATCCATGAATCAAGCTTCACTATTGGGTTTAAAATTTCTCTGTATTGGGAGGAGGCAAGGGAAAACCAAACGTAGGGGAATCCCCTTGCAGAACTCCCAATAACCTGAAGAAGTAGTAATGTAATAGAATTAATAATTAAACAGCTTGATGCAGTAGTAGTTATATAATCCATAGCTGAATCCATGTCTTATAAGATTTAGGCTCGTTTGGGAACAGAATTAAAACACTCCCTCACATGTCAGATGGTCATTGCTCCTCTTCCTAGAGGCTGAGGGTATCCTTTTGCTATACAGGGACCTGGGTTTATTAAAACGGAACCCTTAAAAATTCTGGAATATTTTAATAGCAGAAAGAAGCTGTAGATAGACATGCTTCTAAAAAAGTGTTTTTTGCAGAAATAACTAATTGATACTGTAACCTGTCTCACTTTTGCTATTATTTGAAAACATTATACCACTCAGGACTAAACAATCTATCAAATGCAAGGCTTCTAGATATGTATAGAGAATGGATATTAGTGTGTAATTGTTTACACAATTAACCATGGGCATAGCAGTCAATCCTAATGGCTACGCACTCCTCCCTTGCTGCCTCTGTACTGATGTGTACTGGCTCCCGCAGTCATCCTCTCCCCTGCTGCCTCCCACAGGCAGTAATGCAGGGTGGGAGACGGGAGCCGGCTTAGATAGACAGGCAGCTGCACTGGGGTTGAGGGCATCAGGCAGGAGCCTGTACATGTAAGAAGCCAGCTATCAGACTATCACAGGCAGCAGTGCTGAGGTGCAGACGAGAGCCAATATGCAGAGGGAGCGGAACTTCTTAAAGTTGTCTCTCTGCACATGCTGGCTCCCACGGAGCGGCCTGTCTCCCCCCCGCCCTCCCTTTGCTTTCTCCCACAGAGGCAGCAGTGAGGGGCGTTAGGCAGGAGCCAGCTCCCACCTGCCCCCTTCTCCGGTTACATATTTACAAAAATAAATATTTGCTAGCATCCCTAATGTATGGTTTATTGCTCAATAGTACAGTGCTAGTAGCTGTAATGCAGACTCACCAGCACTCTTAGAACATTCATATGCCCTTCTACTTTTTTTTTTTTTTTAGGAAACTGAAACTTGAATGCAAGTAATGGTAAGATACATGGTTTATATTACTCCTTAGATGCAAAATGAAGATAATGATCATGAAGAATTTAGAAAGCTATTTTCAGCATCTGTCTTGTTCACTTTTCAAAGGTTTTTACTTCTCTGCCACAAAGCACTTAGTTGTTGTTCTGCAGGTACCATGGTATGGGGGAATAAAATTCCCTGGAAACTATCACTGGAAATAACTTCTAAAGCCATAAACTGTGTAACTGGTTGCAATTTAATGAAGATAATGATCATGAAGAATTTAGAAAGCTATTTTCAGCATCTGTCTTGTTCACTTTTCAAAGGTTTTTACTTCTCTGCCACAAAGCACTTAGTTGTTGTTCTGCAGGTACCATGGTATGGGGGAATAAAATTCCCTGGAAACTATCACTGGAAATAACTTCTAAAGCCATAAACTGTGTAACTGGTTGCAATTTAAATCTGTTACATAGTTAAACTCCCCTTTGGCCTTGGCTCCCAGCTTCTCTGGCCCCCAAAGCCTTCTGGGAGCCCATTGCAATGTCAGTTTTGGTAAATGATTAAGCATCAGCTTATTGGTTAACTGGTTAAACTTTTAAATTCCTACTGGACATTGTAGCTAAGGCAGCTTCATATAGGTATTCTTCAAAAGATTAAAACCTAAAAATCAATTTTTAAATAAGATTTATTCAAGTTATTGCTCATGTCCATTCTATTGTGCACAATTGTTGGAAGATTTTTCCCCTAGCAATATCTGTCGGGTCAGCTGTGAAGCCCCTAGAATGGTGCCTCCATGATGGCGTGTATATAGGTTCTTGCTGCCCCCTCAGTTCCTTCTTAGTGCCAGTGGTGGTTGTTGGACCATCTTGGCCTTGTTTTGCAAACGCCTTTCCTAGCAGTTTTTTTCATAGCTTTTTATATAGTTCCTCTAGTTATTACTGTGTTATAGCTGGAGGATTCCCCCATTCCCATTTCCTCATACTTGGGGCATGCCTCAGTCCCAGGCTTTAAGCCCTACAACAAGAACCTGAAGTCTCTGCCACATGGTGACCTGCGTGACTCCTGCCTCAAGCGCCTTGGAAAGGGTCATCAAGCAGTCAAGTGTAAAATCTGCAGAGGCTTCAAACCTCTGGGATGAAGACAGAGAGGAACTCTTGCCTGAAACTCCTAATGGAGGCAGTACTTCACCTACAGGTAACATTGGAGTCAGCTCTGGCAGTTCCGTGCTCAGCTGGGATGTTAGCTATCAGTTAATTGAATAGTCAACTAACTGCATGAATTCTCAGCAGTTAGTTGACTATCCTGTAGTCGTGGAGGTGGAGCTGGCAGCCAGTGCAATCCAGCTCCATCCCAAGGAGCCCCCTGCCAGCCCTCACTGCTGCCTCCGTGAGAATAGCCAATTTAAAAACCAGTTCACCTCGTGGATCGGCTGTCTGCCGTCCTGCACTGCTGCCTCTGACACAGAGGTAGCAGCGTGGCATGGTACAGTCCCCTGTCCACAGGGGGTTGGTGCTCCCCACGGACAGAGGATGCTAGAGGGGAAGGGTCATGGGAGGCTTCTCCAAAGCAGCCTCTGTCTGCGGCGGCCCAGGCTGGCCACAGACAGGGGCTGCTGCCGCAAAGTAGTCTCTGTCTGCAACGGTGACAGTCCCAGTCCTCTGCTGGTGTCGTGGCGGTGCCAGTCCCAGCCCCTTGGTGATGCTGGTCCTAGCCCCCCTCCCTGACGCTGCTGACTCTGATAAAGGCAGAAGCGCAGGCCTGGGTGGGCAGGCAGCACCGCAGAGCTGGTACTGGAGGGAACTGGCTTTTAAGCTGGCTCCTCCCATCATCGGATCCTGCTCTCCCTCCACGCCCCCACCCTACCCCACCTGCTGCTTTTGATATCAAGGCAGCAAGCAGGGGAGGGAATACGAGCAGTCGACTAGATAAGCCTAGGGTTAATGGTTAATCGGTTAATCAGCTAGTCAACTACTCATTCATATCTCTAGTGAGCAGTGCTCCAACATAGTTACAGGGATGCCTCTGTGCCAAAGAAGGACTCTCAAAGAGCTCCATCAGACACCGAGGCCTAGTGCTAATGTGCAGCACCATAGTCAGTCACCAGTGCTGTGTAAAAAGAAGATAGCAGTCAAGGACTGATGTAAGTGCCCATCCAGGACATATGTAGGACAGACACCTGGTCCTGTATCATAAGTTCACCTCTCATCATGCAATCTCCCAGCAGTCTAGGGCTGACACTGCCGTCAGTAGCATAATGTTGCAGTCCATAACCACATACTTTCCAACCCTTCCTCCAGTCATTCAGATTGGTAGTCACCTAAATGGAATGGACATGAGCAATCACTTCAAGAAAAAATGGTTACCTGCCTCTTGGAGCTGTTCTTTGGAATGTGTTGCTCATGTCCATTCCAAATCCTACATGCCTCCCCTCTGCCAGAGTAGTCAACAGTGATGCACATGTCATGCAGGTACAGTTCCTATGAAAATGCGTGGTATCATCCCCAAAATTACAGCACTGTATCTTTGGGCACAGGATTGGTTTTGTAAGAATCTGCTAATACATTTTTTGAGTTGCAATTAATTTAAAAATGGGTTCTGTACAAAATTTAGCCCCATGTGCTGTTTTTTCCCCAAAAATGATTGTAATAGCACAAAAATGAAAACTCTCTTCAAACTTCCCGTATATTTAATTTTACTGAAATGGAGTTTACTGACTGCATTAAAAGGGTTTTTTAGGATTTGTCATTTTAGTGCTATTCCTAACTGAAATCTTCTGCTTTAGAAGATGCTATGAACATTTTTTTCCTTTAGATAATTCAGTTATTACCTGCTTTCTTTCAAATGATTGCCATCTCCAATTTTCAATGGGAGTAAGCTATAGGATGTCCTTAAAGTGGTCTCTTTCAAAATGGATACCACTTCCCATTGTTCCCAGTGTTAATGAAGCCAAACGTCCCATAGGAGTTCCTGTTTACCACTCCACACCCTACTTTTCTCCTCTCATCTGGAGAGAGGGCACACCCTTCCACTCTCAGGTTGTTGATCTCCTAATGCTGCTGCACTGAACTATCAAGATGTTGACATGCCTAGACTATGATCTTGTAAATATTGTCCTTCACCACCCCATCCGCTTCCTGTTGTTTTGGTTTCCATAATATTACATCATGTCTAAAATAAGTGTTATATTCTGTATTTGTATTGTACACTTTTGAAAACTCTATAGTTTTAAAATTATTCTAATTAATCCCTAATTTTCTATCATAATTAGTTTAATTTAATATTTTTCCTTTGTACAGATGTTAATATCTCTATCCCAAATTTTTTTCCCTAAAACTGGTACTTTTCATTAGTTGGTTTTATAGGGATTTAATGTAACCATAATTCGTTAAAGTTTTCCTTTGTCATAGTATATCAAGTTTAGAATAATATATTCTTAAATAAAACAAATAGAAATGAACAGTATTTGGGATAGGTTTGTTAAAATTGTAACTTAACGTTTTATAGTTAAGATTTGATAATTGTAAAATATCTGTCACTAATTTTAAAGTTGTTATTAAGCAGAATTAAAAGTACTAAAACAGAAATCAGTCTGTAAGTGGTGTTTATAATACAATAATTAAGCAATTATATTAGCTTAATAATGTTTTATGAAAAATGCTTGCATTCTCTGATACATAGTAGAATTTCCTGAAACATTCATCAGCATTCACTTTTATCCTGTTTATTAGTTTGGTTAACAACTTGCTCTATGACCCAGAGTCAGGTGATTGGAATTCCTCTGGGAAATTGCAGTAAAATGGTAGCTGCCATTGAGAAGCAACATTTACTGCTATTGTACAATCAAAACACTGATAAATAACTCCATAATGTTTTAAAAATGCAAGAGGTCTATTATATAACTTCCAATAAATATTCCTTGACCTCTCATGTTATCTGTAGTTTTTCTTGTAAGCAAACAGTTATTAGAGAGATGACCATTACCACACTAGTGTAATCTTTGCAAGCATATTTTTATATGCTGTCTTGAGAGGATTAGAGAAGTAGTATGTTTGAGACATCAAATTTTACACATACCTAGACCTTGCCTCTAAACATCTAAGTTAATAGTACCTGGTAGATTAAATGTTCTCCACTTCTGTGGATGGACATGTTGCATTGTCCTGGATCTGCTGTGTCAGAGTTTTAGTCTCAAAAGCGGCTGCTAGTTGTCATGGCTCTCAGGAATCCTGTTCATCCCATAGGTCATGAGTACCTTCCATTGATTGAAGGGCCAAAACAGGTCCATGCTGTGAAACTGATGTAGCCTATCAGGAGAAAAGTCCTTTTATTGAGGTTTTCAGTTGGAAGGCACAATATATTTGTTCCGTTACTTTGTTTGTGACTTTAAAAAACACAGCATTTTCCTTTTTCAGTTTCTTGATTCGTTTTGCATAATTTTTTTCTAGGATGAAGTTACCAAAGTTCGTGCAGATAACAAATTAGACTTCAATCTAGAAAAGAGCAGAGCAAAAGAGCTGGTATGTCTTATGAATTTCTTCTAAAAGTGTGTAAAATATGAATACCATTTGTAATAGGTCAGGATTTACTGTTGTGATGTCCTGGCAGGTCTCCTCCTCCATCAGTGATGATAACCAGAAGGCTACTTGTGTGTGTGCTCAGTTGTGTGTTGTGTTGACTTGTGCAATTAGTTAACACAGCATACTCTAAGAGAGCCCTCAAAGACCACAGATCAGTTAAGGATTGAAAGTGCAGTGCACAGCCAAATTTATTGTTAAGCTAAGTACAGTAATAGCTGTCACTAGACTGTACCGAACCACTACATATGTGTACCCTGTAACAATGGAGTCAGCTCCGTCAGTAGGAGGTCCCACTGCCCCCTTGGCTGGACAAAGACAGCCCCTCCAAGACACCATTTTGTATACAGGTACAAATAAGTTACACATCGTGATGTGTCAGGTTGCCTTTGACGCAACTTAGATACCACCCATCACTCTGCACCTCATGGTTCAGTTAGAACTCCTCTGTCCATCATGCTGTCATTTTAGACCCTTTCCTGAACCTGGGTCGGTATCGATGGGGAGTGTGGGTACCAAGGTCTTTTTAACAAGCTTGTGATACCATCCTTTTGGAATGTGCTTTCAATTTATGACCAGTACCAATTACTGTTCTACACATGGGTCTGTTACCAATTCGTGTTTTGCACTCTCTGCCCTGTTCATGCCATGTTCTGCGAGCAGAGGCCTGCCTCCTGCTCCCAGCTTAGCTTTGCTTTATATTAGATAAGTTTTGTCCATTGTTAACTAGGCCTCAGGCCTCAAACCAGGCATGTGCTACATCGACCTTTATTTCAGGCCCTCATCTTACTACACCATTTGGAATTATTTAGTCTAGAATGTAATTGTAGTTCACTCCATCTTCTGGAATGAACCATAATTATTCATCTTAGTGGTGGTGTAGTATAATGTGACACCATTCATTTTTAATATTTTAGTATATTTTGACATGGTTTTGAATATCAAGATTAATAAGGAAGGTAGGTAGAATAATTTTTTTCTAAATTTATCTAGTCAAATTATGTTTAAATGCTTTGTTAAATTATCTTTGAGCTTAAGCTAAAATAATAGAGGTTACAGTAAATTGGCAAGGTTTTGCTCTGTTTAAGAGTATTATATGTAAATGCTTTTACCAAAATGTATTTCAGCATGTCAAAGAAAATTATATTGCCTGACTTGAACAGCCTTTTTTGAATGACATTTTTTCTACAGATTTTATTTTCCTTAGTCACCCATCACATTTCACATTTATATTTCCTAGATGTGTAGTGAGGGAATAATATTAACAGTTACTCTGGGAAGTAAGCTTTATTTTCTTTAAATACTGTTCATCTTTTTTCTTTCAAAACTGGTAGATGTGCCCTTAAGATAAATTACTGTTAAATAAGGCTAAAACTTAGTCACAGGTATTTTGAGTAAAAGTCATGGATAGGTATCAGGCAGCAAACAAAAAATCATTTTTACTATATACCCCTAACTAAAACTTAGGGAGGGAGACTCGTAGGGGTGGCCCTGAAGGACTGTGGGGGAAGGTTGGTGTGGCTGGGGCAGGCTCCCTACCAAGCTCCTGGGAAACGGCAACCCCAGCTTCTAGCTCTACATGCTGCTGCTACTCTGCCCAAAACCATGGTTCTGCAGCTCTTATTGTCTACAGGCAGAGGCAGCACGTGGAGCTCGGAGGTAAGCACTGCCCTGCATCTCAGCCTCTAGCCCTCAACCCACCCGTGCTCCCCTCCCACCCTGCACCCAAACTCCTAGTGCTGAGGTGGCTGACACTGCCCCAGGAATAGCCAGTGTACTTGGCCTGGGGGTTGCCTGAATTGCTCAGGGTGCCCCCAGGCCTGCTGCACGGGCCACTCGAGAAGTCATGGAACCTGTGACCCCCCTCTGACCTCCCCATCTCCAGCCCAGCTGGGGCTGTGCACCATACTCCTGCCCCCACTTACATTGCACTGTCCCGTGTCTCCTCCCCCCCCAGAATTCTGGTTTATATTTGAAAAACACAATAATTTGAATAGTGTTAATTTCAGATTTAAAGAAGGGCTACCCTTCTTTTCTTTCCCTTTCCCTTTCCCTTTCCCTTTCCTTTGATTCCAAAGTTTCAAAGAAAGTAGAGAACAAATCAAATCCTAATTAAACAATTATAGATGACAATAGAATCTGCATTTATCTTTTAAAACTTCATATGTGGAGGAACGATGAGCAAAGTGGCTAAAGGATGACCTTGTCCTCTTTACATCATGCATAAGAAAACACAGACTATAGGAATGTTAAAAGTTGTTAAATAGGTAGCTATGTAACTTATTAAATAAGTAACCGTGTAGCCAAAAATGTCACCAGTAGCACGGTTACATGCTCTGGACTCTGCAGGATAAATTTTATTTAAGCTTTATACTGCAGAGCCCACAGCAAAGCCTCCCCAGGAGTGGGGCCACCAGCCCTTGCCCGCCCGGTTTGCAGGGAGGTAGCTTCGCTGCTGTGGTGAAGCATCCTCTGTAGGAGCTGTCTGAGGGTAATGTACACTATTAACCGTTAAGCATTAGCTTACTGATAAAACAATTAGCCTGTTAATTCTAACATCCCTAACAGAATATAAATCTATCCTCAGTTATGGAACTAATGTTAATTGAAATCTGGGTGTGTTTTTAAATAGAAATCTGCAATCCTTCCCTATTGCCAGTCAACAAACATTGCCATAATTAAAGAACAGACTCTGCTGCCCTTATAGCTCTAAGTTTTGCTAAAACATTTGGCTTTAAGCTCTGCTTTCTTACAAAGAGCAACATCTGTTCGACAATGGTAACTCTAAATATTGTAGGCAAACACAGAAGAATATGGAATTCCATCTTAGGAATTATAACAATGATGTTGGAAACTCAGAAAAAGTTCTAGCTGGAAAGAAGTTCAGAAGAGAGGGTAATGCTTTTTTTGTTTGCTTTTTTTCTTCAGTATTCAGTTAATGAAAGAAAACTGCTGGAAATAAGGACAGAAATAGTAGCAATGGTAAGAATTTAGAATTTAAGAACAGATTGTTGAGTAATAAAATAAGGCTTATTGTATTTGCATATTTTAAACAGACACAGACAATTTTAACATGCATATTATTTAAATGTATATGTCTCAGGTTTCCTAAATGTTCAAAAGCTGCTATCATGTCATCCCTCGGTTTTCTCTTTTTCAAACCAAAAAAAAAACCCCACAGTTCTTTCAGTCTTCCCTGCTAAGTCATGTTTTCTAGACTTTGAATAATTTTTTGTTACTCTTCTCTGGACCTTCTCCAATATCTCCACATCTTTCCTGAAATATGGTGCCCAAAACGGGACATAATACTCCAGTTGAGGCCTATTCAGCACAGAGTAGAGGAGAAGAATTACTTATTGTTTCTTACTCACAACACTCCTATTAATGCATTCCAGAACTATGTTTGCTTTTTTGCAATAGTATCATACTGACTTATATTTAGCTTGTGATCCACTGTGAAGCCTAGATCCCTTTCTGCAGCTCTCTTTCCTAGACAGTCACTACTCATTTTTTATGCAAGAAACTGATTGTTTAAGTTGCATTTATGTTGAGCCTCTATTATTGTATCTGAAAAGTTTCCATGTTGTTTACAGGGATTTTACTTTTGACCCTGTACTTTTTAATTTTTGTTTAACTAATCTCCTAACTTTTGTGTAGTTTCCCTTCCTGAAATTAAATTAAATTCTGTCCTCCTTCAACATCTCTTCAGGATGGAGATTTAAAGATTTGCAGTCTTGTGATTTAAGAAATAATTCTATTTTATGCTTCACAGATCTCAAGAATAATCACATTCCAATACATTGCTGCCACTGGTGGCTCCTATATTTTACGTTCAGAAATAAATTATATTTAAACAGTGCACTTCAGTCTGTTAAACAGCCATGGGGTGTTCACAAAGCGTATTATTCTGAGATAAAACGGCATCTGGTTATATCACTTTCTGGATGATCTGTTAGCAAAGGTGCAGTCATGAGCTTGCCATGTTCACCAAATGGTCTAATTCCTGGATCATAATAGATTCAGAGTGAATCACCAGAAGAGCTCACTTATGCCAGCTTAGGAATTCTAAAACAACCTGTGTCTTGCAGTACCATAATAAGAGAAATTTGACCTAATACAAGCTGCAGTTCCTTAATACATGAGTGCATTCAGCTGATCCATATGATAAAGACCAGTGAGGAAGGAAAAAGTGCCTCCAACTTTCATCTCCTTCAGAATTTTTCAATCCAGCATGGAAGTACCTGGTTCAGGATATGGACCATGTGATAATAGTCCCTTCAGATGTCCAGTCCTTTCTGTAGTGACTACTTTGGGTATATCTCCCCAGGAATCCCAGCTCAGCATCAACCTCTTGGAGCTGTAGGAAGCAGGAAATACAATAGTCAGCTTCCTCCCAAAGCTCCTTCTGATAACTGCAACTATTCACTTGGAAGGTGACAGCAGAACTACTAGGCTCATATCAACTGACAAGATTGGACGGAAAGTAAAAGTCTAAAAAGTGAGGCCAGAAAATTCTTCCATAATTGTCTCACCTGGTTATGTCCATCAGAGCCACATACATCTGTAGCAAATATTATCGATTTGTTCAGTTGTCTTAATTGAATGGTAGAACAGTAGGAGCTACCCAAACAAAAACCTGATTAGATTATATCAAGGTGGTTTTACCATGATAGATATGTTTACAAACTAAAACAACAGGAGTAATGAATTTTGTTCTTCACATTTAGCCTCCATATAGGCCTGGAGAATGGACACCATCTCATTTCTCTGACTGAGCTTCCAGGAGCATGCCTTTTCTCCTCATAAACAAGGTGATCAGACTGGATCAAGCCTCAGTAAAGCCAGATCATCCCATACTAGCCCAGGCACCTTTGTTTTCCTAGACTGATACACATTCAGTATGTCTACCATTCATTTATATTGCCAGTTTCTCAGCACTTTGGACATCTGAACCTCTTCAAATTGTGCTACACATCACCAACAACAAAAGAAAGGAATATTATTGGTGCATCCTTAACTGTAATGTAGTGCTGGTATAAGGAAGTGTACAGATGAGTGAGATTAAAAATGAGGCCAGATCTTACATTTCTTCTGGTAAAACTCCTGTTTTACTTTATTGGAAATTTGCTTGAGTAAGGATTGTAGGATCAGGAACAAAAGCTGTAGATAAAGTATAGTCATAATTAATTTTTAAAGACAGACTACAATCCTTTTGATGAGGATTTTATGATGGAATCTGCAGCTAACTGTAATAAATCCATCAGGAAATATATATGTTTTTATAAGCATTTTTAAAAAACACTGCAGTGGAGCAGTCCTTTTTTTATACTTGTGGTCACCTAAATGTGGCAATATGAATTGTCAGTACTGTAAAGGAAACTTCTGGCCTCTTAAGAAATATAACATTACTTGATGCTTCTTAAAGGAAGGAGTATAACTCCAAAGAAAGGCTTATCCTTAATCTTTAATGCGAACTCCGGTCATCTGAAGAAGTGGGCTGTGCCCATAAAAGCTCATGATACCATCTACATGTTTTGTTAGTCTATTAAGTGTTATCAGACGATTTGTTGTTTTTTTCTGTACAGACTAACTCTGCAACCCCCTGAAGCTTCTTTAATACATTGTTAGTACTGAATTTGCAAAAGTGAAATGAGAGACACAAAAGAGTAATTCAAAAAGGAAATAGATTTAGTGTTTAACCATTCAATTTTAAAGTTAAATTGTGTTCAAATAACTTCATATTCTGCTTTGTTTCTAGCATGCAAAACAAGACCGAGCTCTAACTCAAACAGATAGAAAAATAGACACAGAAGTTGCAGGACTGAAAACAATGATGGAATCGCACAAACTTGATAATATTAAATACTTAGCAGGTAAGGAATCCTGGCAATAATATGCACTCATTTTAGAGTTGAATTTGACTCTCTTGTTAAAAGCCCTGATTCAGCAAGATACTTAAGCACACTCATTAACTTTAGTGGGAATATTTATATGCTTAAAATTAGGCACATGCTTATTTGTTAAATAATGCTTACATTTACTCTATTAAAAGAGAAATGAACTTATTCCAAAGCCTCTGTCTGTCAGAAGCTGGACCATAAGGGATGGCTCACTTGATATTTGCCCTGTTCTGTTAATTCCTAAAGCATTTGGAATTGGCAACAGTCCCTGAAGAAAGAATACTTAGCTAGATGAACCATTGGTCGTTTTTATGTTTGTAGGATCATTTTAGGGATGTTAAATTGCAATTAATTAGCTAATAGTGTAGCTAATGGAATTTCCATCAGCTTCTCAATTAGTCTATGGGGAGCAGGGGAGAATGCTCGCTACCCCTGCTACACCTCTGTAGTTTAACTGTAGTAGGAATCAGGTGAACATTTCTACATTTAAACTACAGAGCCACAGTGGAGTTAGCTCCCGGAGGTGGCATGAGCTGGGGCTAAGCAGCTCCAGTTTGCTCCGGGAGCTAATCCCGCTGAGGCTCTGCCTTTTAAATGTAGTAAGAGCCCCACTGGGGTGGGGTGGCTCTTCCTACATTTAGTTGGGGTGGTTCTTACTACATTTAAAAGGCAGAGCCGCAGCGCTGCTGTGCCTCTCTGCCTCACCTACTCCACCTCTGCACTGCAGAGACTGTGTTGGGGGGGACTTGCTTTTAAGCCGGGTCCCCCCAGCACCAGCTCCTCCTCCCCTCCCCCTTGCTACCTATAAAATAGAGGCAACAAGTGGAGGTGGCGATGCAAGTAGTAGACTAGGCTTATCAGGTAGTCGACTATTTGACTACTCTTTGCATCCCTAGATCATTTAGCACTACATAACTGCTCTTATTAAGTCAAAGTAAAACCATCTTTTCTTTTTGGAAAAAAAGAGGTGAGGGCTCATAAAAATAGAATTGCAAACTTGTTAAAGTATAAACTTTTCAACCAATTAAACTGATCGTATCTATTTTTTGACTGAGATTTAAAAACTATAGTGTTTGCCGGTTATTGGACTTTGCTGCTAATATTCATATTGTCTTTATTTCCTCATTTCATAACCATAACTTGCTATGTTGCTCTTACTTATTTGGAATGGTAAGCAATGATAGGATTATTCAGTATTACTGACTGCTTTCCCCTTCACTCCCTCTTTCCTTCCTTTCATCTCTTTTCATTTTGTGGT